TAGTTGGCAAGGTCACTATCTACAATTCAACCTCTACAACCTCTAGTTTACATATATCTACAAATATAAAACCTATATCTCCCTTACATAAGTTAGATACTACCTGGTCAATGATTTTGTGAAACTCTTTTGGTGCATTTGTGATACCCATAAAGAGTCATTTTACTTTGTAAGTTCCCCATGGAGTGGAAACTGCAGCATAGTTTTGACTTTCTTCTTCTAACTGTACATGTAAATAAGCTTTATGCAGATCTAAAACACAGAAGTATTTTCCTACATTTAATTTATTTAAAAGATCTTCAATTCTGGGAATAGGATATTGAGTATCTTCTAGTTGAGGGTTTAGTGTAATTTTATAATCTGCACAGATCCTTACAGATTGATCTGGCTTAGAAACAATAACTAGTGGAGTACCCCACGCTGAGTGATCAACTTTTTCTAGGACCCCTTGATCAACTAAAGATTGTATTTCTCTTTTAGTTTTGTCTAGCAAGGCATAAGGAATAGGTCTAGGCTTCATAAATATGGGTTTTGTATTTTCTTTCAGTTGTAAAGAACATTTGAAATTTGGAATAACACCTATATGTTATTGAAATACCTACATCTTTGTACTTGTTTAAGAGTTCAGTTTTGATTGATTCGATATTATTCTTGTCTGGGTCCAAACGGTTACCAGTATTAGTTATCTAGGTGTTAGTAGTTTTAATGATAATGCAGAAATTCTACATGTTTGTAAGAAAGGCTTCATGCTAGACACCCTCGAAGAGTTCGAAATATACAAAGCCACTAAATCCGACCCGTACAACATGCTCAATGAAAAACTTAATTATGGTTCAAACAAACTATTCAACACAGTCTTAGATCACTTTGGTAACAATTATGTTGGCAACACGAGTCCTGGAGGCACAGCTGATAAACGAAATGGAGTGGGGTAAATAGTCAGTCGTCGTCGACCAGTTCAGTGACGTGTGCCGGCCGGCCAATTATGTTAAATGTCTACCGTGTTCGTGTTATGTTTGTTTATGTGTTCAATGTATTTAAGATTTGACGACATTCAACGAATGTAATATTTTAACGTTCCGTTTTTGATAATGACTACGCAGTAGTCGAAACTATAGTCAACGGATACCGACAAAGGAATTGTGGACGTCAAGGTACGTAACCTGTTACAGTTTTTACCTGATTGCAGTCATATTCAGAATCTACGTCGCTTCTTTCAGAAAGGATCGTCTCGAGGTTCACCTAAATTTTAATAAATAGGTACAGTTTTTATTCATGTTGAAGCCTTCCGGAATTGGTAATCAATTATAACAGGTTACGTACCTTGACGTCCACAATTCCTTTGTCGGTATCCGTTGACTATAGTTTCGACTACTACGTAGTCATTATCAAAAACGGAACGTTAAAATATTACATTCGTTGAATGTCGTCAAATCTTAAATACATTGAACACACAAACAAACATAACACGAACACGGTAGACATTTAGCATAATTGGCCGGCCGGCACACGTCACTGAACTGGTCGACGACGACTGACTATTTACCCCACTCCATTTCGTTTATCAGCTGTCTCCATCGTTTTCTGGTCTAGGACTTGCAAGTTGTCTTACTAAATGGGCAAGAGCAGCAGTTTGGGCTTGTAATGTTTCCAATATTGCTTTGTTTTGTTCAGTCACTTTTTGATTATCCATTTAGAATGTCCTGGGCCCTGTTTCATAAAACTACTAGTCTAGTATTTACTAGTCCATGGACTAGTAATACTAGTGTATTTTACAAGTCTACGTTTCAAAAACCTACTAGTGTAAAATACTAGTTACTAGTGTAGGGACTAGTATTACTAGTGGGTTTTACTAGTGTAGACAGCAATGTGTTTTGTCTGATTTGCAAGTTTTGTCTGATGCGGCGTATATTGTTTGTAATACAACACATCGTCTGTCAACACATACAACCGCGCTGCCCTACGAACCTTGGCGTCAGCATTCTCTGGGTCCACAATCGCTGACCTAATGCTAAACAAGTATCTATCTTCTAGCTGCAACTGTCGTATGTTTACTGTTTTAATAATGTTAATCTCAAACTCCTCCTTTGCTGCTTCCTGGTCTAGTTCTCTGTCTATGGGATATCTACTCATCAAATCAGCTATCCTCATACTAGCACCAGTCTTGTGTACAATTTTGAAATCAAAATCCATCAATTTTAATGCCAATCTATTTAATCTTGACGTCAAACACTTGATATTCGTGTAATACTGTAGGGAACTGTGATCACTCTGAACCTCAAAGTATTTTCCGTACAAGAGACTGCGGAAATGATTGACAGAAAACACGATCGCCAATAGTTCTAGCTCCGAAACACTCCACTTATTCTCCGTTCCGGAGATCTTACGACTTACGTAGGCAACGGGCCTCAAAGTACCATCCTCCTGGTACTGAAGTAATTCACCACTTAAACCCTTTCGACAAGCATCTGTTCGCAAAACAGTTTGCTTTTGTTCCGAAAAGAAAGCCAAAACCGGTGGACTGGCCAAAGCTTGTTTCCGTGCATTAAATGATACCTCGTGCTCCTCAGTCCAAATCAGGACATTCCTGCCAACCTTGTTTTTCTTTGTTAACTCAGTTAAAGGATATGCTAACTCTGAATATGACTTAATGAACTTCCTGTAATAAGATGTGGCACCTAAGAAACTTCTCACGTCCTTAAGTGTTTTCGGGGTTGGTATGTCCAACATCGCTTCGACCCTACTTTGTAAGGGTTGGATCCCTTCTCGACCTATCTTGTGTCCTAACAACTCCACCTCTGGATAGAAAAAATGACATTTTTGTGTCTTAATCTTCAATTTTGATTCCCTTAATCTTTGAAATGTTAATTCCAATCATCCCAACGCTTCCTCAAAACTTGGTGCGTATGTGCACACATCGTCCACGTAGACAACTACACCATGATAAAGCATGTCAGAGAAAACCTGGTTAATTGCTCTCGAGAAGCATTGTGTTGCAATACTAATGCCCATCGGTAGACGTTTCCATTGATACAAACCCTTGTGCGTAACGAAAGCTGTATATTTCCGACATCTTTCTTTTAATGGAATTTGGAAAAAGGCCTGATTAATATCCATTGTACAAAAATATTTTGATGACTCCAGTGTGTCTAGTATGGAATCGATTCTAGCTAGAGGAAATCTATCGGGCACGATAGCAGCATTTGTTTTGGAATAATTTACAACCAATCTAAATTTATTACCTGGCTTTTTGACCAAAAATGCTGGTGCAGCAAAATCACTCCGTGATTTCTCAATTACACCTGCCTTCTCTAACTCTTCAATCTGCCTATCCATTTCTTCCCGCTCTAGTTTACTTAATTTATATGGAGGCACAGCTATAGGATCTTCTGACCGCATTTCAAAAGAACTGGCAGGCACCCTCGCCTCATTTAAGTCCTCTGCATCTTTGGCAAAAACATCCAAATATCTCGAAATCAAAGCCTTTGCAGCTTCGTATTCTTCAGGAGCTAAATCTGGATTTAGATCAATTATGTTCCCTGCCATGTCTTTAACCGTAGTGTCTGTTTCAGAACTAGCATTATTAACTAAACGATTAACACATTCCTCCACAACCATGTCCTCGTTGCCATTTTCCGGACACAACCCTTCCTCGAGCGTAACCGAGCCAATACACGTGTCATTCCATAAGGTTGCGGTAACCTTCTGAGTATTCGTCACATAAATAACTGGTGGAGTCATTGCACTTCCTGCCACACAGTAAAGACCCTTTCTGTGTAACATATTCCCATCCGCAAAAATATAAGGGATATCATCTTGTAATATTAAATCTGTCCGAACCGGAACCGCAACTCTACAATGAGGAGGAATTCGTACGTCCTCTGTAGTGTAAACACCTATGTGTTGTTGTAACACCTCCTGTTTAGTATTGAAATCATAGATCACTTTGGTAACAATTATGTTGGCAACACGAGTCCTGGAGGCACAGCTGATAAACGAAATGGAGTGGGGTAAATAGTCAGTCGTCGTCGACCAGTTCAGTGACGTGTGCCGGCCGGCCAATTATGTTAAATGTCTACCGTGTTCGTGTTATGTTTGTTTATGTGTTCAATGTATTTAAGATTTGACGACATTCAACGAATGTAATATTTTAACGTTCCGTTTTTGATAATGACTACGCAGTAGTCGAAACTATAGTCAACGGATACCGACAAAGGAATTGTGGACGTCAAGGTACGTAACCTGTTACAGTTTTTACCTGATTGCAGTCATATTCAGAATCTACGTCGCTTCTTTCAGAAAGGATCGTCTCGAGGTTCACCTAAATTTTAATAAATAGGTACAGTTTTTATTCATGTTGAAGCCTTCCGGAATTGGTAATCAATTATAACAGGTTACGTACCTTGACGTCCACAATTCCTTTGTCGGTATCCGTTGACTATAGTTTCGACTACTACGTAGTCATTATCAAAAACGGAACGTTAAAATATTACATTCGTTGAATGTCGTCAAATCTTAAATACATTGAACACACAAACAAACATAACACGAACACGGTAGACATTTAGCATAATTGGCCGGCCGGCACACGTCACTGAACTGGTCGACGACGACTGACTATTTACCCCACTCCATTTCGTTTATCAGCTGTCTCCATCGTTTTCTGGTCTAGGACTTGCAAGTTGTCTTACTAAATGGGCAAGAGCAGCAGTTTGGGCTTGTAATGTTTCCAATATTGCTTTGTTTTGTTCAGTCACTTTTTGATTATCCATTTAGAATGTCCTGGGCCCTGTTCTCTTCAAGCTTGTAAGTAATGTGGTGATGTGAACATTATCACCTGATAATATTTATTATTTGATTTGTTTGTAAATATTGTATTTGTTCTTAACTAAAACATGGTTGTAATTTTGAATGAATAAAAGCCATACTTTTGGTTTACTAAGTCTTTCTTACAACAATTTTATTCATTCATTGATAAACTCAGTTAGTGCTACATTACAATGGAGAAATTCCTTAGACCAGACAAATTGCAAATTGACCCGGAATCTCCAACTGCCTCAGAGGAATGGACGCACTGGTTACAAACATTCGAAGACTTTCTAACCATGACAGAATTCGTTGAAGACAAGGACAAACTGAAACTACTAACTAATCGATTATCTTTTACTACTTATAAATTTATCAAGGAATCTGAAACTTACCAAGACGCTTTGAGAGTTCTTAACTCAATTTACATCAAACAAAAGAATGAAATATTCTCAAGATATTTAGTAATGACTAGAAAACAGCAACGAGGTGAGACTATTGACAAATATGTGTCGGAACTGAAACTTTTGAGCCAAGATTGCGTTTTTGAAGCTGTTAATGCGATTCAATACAGGGATCATTACATTCGTGATGCTTTTATCAATGGCTTAACCTCGTCATACATACGACAGAGACTATTTGAAAATAAAACTTTAGACCTAGCTGAAGCAGTGGAACAGTCTAGAGCTCTTGAAATGGCTCAAGCTCAAGTCGAGAGCTATCCAAAATCTATGTACGGAATGCAAACTTGTGCAACGAATGAATTGGCAAAGCAAGCTTGTCAGTACGAATTCCCACTACAACAAAAGGAAGAAGCGACTGTTTCCGCTATTAAAAATGTTGATGGCAAGTGTTATTTTTGTGGGCATGATAGACACTCTAGAGATCGCTGTCCAGCCAGAGAAGCAACTTGTGGGAAATGTAACAAGACAGGGCATTATGCGAGAGTCTGTAAAAGTAATCCAACTCAACATTTTAAAGTAAAACAGAAGACGTCTAGTACATCAGCTGCACTAATAGCAACTACACATAATACATCTGTATTGAAGGACTCTACTGTTGAAGCTAAAGTGAATGGCCTGAAAGCAAATTGCTTAATAGACACCGGGAGTACATCAAGCTTTGTAAACTTGAAGTTTGTTCAGTTAAACAAAATTAAAATGTATAATGAAAGTGGACAAGTATCACTAGCTGCTTCTAATATGAAATCAAACGTCCACGGGTTTGTTAAAATCAACCTAAATCTGTTGAATCACAATTACAACAATTTTAAGTTGACTGTTCTTGAAGATCTTTGTACTGACGTGCTTATCGGACATGATATCATGAAACTCCACTCAAATATACAAGTTTGGTTTGGAGGTAAGAAACCTCCTCTGTTGGTGTGCTCCTGTGCCAAAGTTGAACCACCCAAACTATTCTGCAATTTAACTCCAGATTGTTAGCCAATAGCCACAAAATCACGACGTTACTCAGATGAAGATATGCAATTTATAAAACAAGAAATGGAAAGACTACAGACTGAGGAGATCATTGAACCTAGTTCGTCATCTTGGCGTGCACAAGTGTTGGTTGTTACAAACGACAAAGGGAAGAAGCGACTGTGTGTGGACTATTCGCAAACGATAAACAAATTTACTCTGTTAGACGCCTATCCCTTACCAAACATAGATGATCTAGTATCCACTGTAGCGACGAACAAGGTTTTTAGTGCCATTGATCTAAAGCAAGCATACTATCAAATACCAATTTCTGACGAAGAGAAGAAGTACACTGCTTTTGAGGCTGCTGGTCGTCTTTTTCAATTCAGAAGAATCCCATTTGGCGTAACCAACGGGGTGGCATGTTTTCAAAAGACCATGGACCAAATCATTAGAAAAGAAAAACTGAATGGAGTGTATGCCTATCTGGATGATTTGACCGTATGTGGAAAGGATCAAAAGGATCATGATGAGAATCTAAGAACATTTTTAGATGCTGTAACTAAGTATGGACTTGTAATCAACAACGAAAAGAGCAAGTTCAACCAGTCTTCAATAACCTTGTTGGGACATTTAGTTTCCCATAACTCTATTCGACCTGATCCAGATCGGCTAGAATCTCTACTGTCACTTCCTGTGCCCAAAGACCAAGTTTCACTAAAGCGAGTCCTAGGATTTTTCGCTCACTATTCAAAATGGATACATCGATTTTCTGATAAAATAAGAAACCTGACACAAGTCAATTCTTTTCCTTTGTCACAGGAAGCGGTTGCAGATTTTGAAGCCCTCAAACTTGACATTGCAAACTCAGTAATTACTCCTAGGAATGGGCAAGAGCCACTGGTAGTGGAGACTGACGCATCTGACATAGCCGTGGCAGCAACTTTGAGTCAAGATAATCGGCCAATTGCTTTTTTCTCACGGACTCTAAACAAATCTGAGAAGCTGTATTCAGCTGTTGAAAAAGAAGCTGTTGCCATTGTCGAAGCCCTTCGAAAATGGAAATCATTTCTTATCGGAAGAGACTTCAGATTATACACGGATCAGCAAGCTTTATCATTTATCTTTGACAAGAGGCATACAAGCAAAATCAAGAACGATAAAGTTATGAGATGGCGACTAGAGCTAACACCTTATCAATATGAAATAGTGTACCGACCTGGTAGGGAGAATGTAAAAGCAGATACGCTCTCTCGGGCATGTGCGGTTCGCTGGGACAATGCTAAGTTGTTTGAATTACACAAATCTCTCTGCCATCCGGGAGTCACTCGAATGTTTCATTGGATTAAAACTAAAAATCTAAACTACACTCTGGATGATGTAAAAAGGATGACGTCAGCTTGTCAAACATGTGCAGAAGTGAAGCCAAGATTTCACCAATTCCAAGGCAAATTGATAAAGGCAACCACTCCCTTCGAACGTCTAAATATTGACTTCAAGGGCCCTCTTCCATCAACAACCAGAAACCGTTACCTTTTAACCATGGTGGACGAGTATTCTCGTTTTGTATTTGCTTACCCCTGTAAGGACATTAGTTCAGCAACAGTTATCAGATGTTTTTCAGATCTATTTTTTATGTTTGGAGCCCCGTCCTTTGTACATTCAGATAGAGGTTCATCTTTCATGTCGCGAGAGCTGACGGACTTTCTTCACAAGTACGGAGTAGCTACAAGTCATACGACACCTTATAACCCTAGAGGGAACTCTCAGATTGAACGCTTCAATGGAACAATATGGCGAACCATCCTACTAGCTTTAAAAAACCACAACCTGCCAGTTGCTGCATGGGAAGAAGTATTACAGGAGGCACTTCACTCAGTCAGATCTCTTTTATGCACTGCGACAAACTGCACACCGCACGAAAGATTCTTTATACATAGCAGAAGATCTACCAATGGAGACTCCTTACCATCTTGGCTATCCGCTCCTGGTCCTGTCCTGCTTAGAAAGTTTGTAAGATCTAATAAATATGATGACCTTGTGGAGCCAGTTCAACTTTTGGAATCAAATCCACAGTACGCTCTCGTCAGAAGAAGAGATGGGTCAGAATCACAAGTATCCCTGAGACATCTTGCACCCGCTGGCCTACCTCCTGGTGATCTACCTCCTGAAGACAACACTAATGAGAGAGAGATTGTTGAAAATATAAATTCAGACATTGACCACAATGAAGTTCAAAATGAAACTCAACAAACGGTATCTCAGACCCCAACTTCAGAGACGGCCGTGGGGGAACTACGTCCAAAGAGGAATGTCAAGCCTCCGTCATATCTAAAGGATTACGTATGCTATACCTACCTTGAAAACTAGTGGGGGAGAATGTGGTGATGTGAACATTATCACCTGATAATATTTATTATTTGATTTGTTTGTAAATATTGTATTTGTTCTTAACTAAAACATGGTTGTAATTTTGAATGAATAAAAGCCATACTTTTGGTTTACTAAGTCTTTCTTACAACAAATTGGTAGTTCTTCTGCTATGTATAAAGAATCTTTCGTGCGGTGTGCAGTTAGTCGCAGTGCATAAAAGAGATCTGACTGAGTGAAGTGCCTCCTGTAATACTTCTTCCCATGCAGCAACTGGCAGGTTGTGGTTTTTCAAAGCTAGTAGGATGGTTCGCCATATTGTTCCATTGAAGCGTTCAATCTGAGAGTTCCCTCTAGGGTTATAAGGTGTCGTATGACTTGTAGCTACTCCATACTTGTGAAGAAAGTCCGTCAGCTCTCGCGACATAAAAGATGAACCTCTATCTGAATGTACAAAGGACGGGGCTCCAAACATAAAAAATAGATCTGAAAAACATCTGATAACTGTTGCTGAACTAATGTCCTTACAGGGGTAAGCAAATACAAAACGAGAATACTCATCCACCATGGTTAAAAGGTAACGGTTTCTGGTTGTTGATGGAAGAGGGCCCTTAAAGTCAATATTTAGACGTTCGAAGGGAGTGGTTGCCTTTATCAATTTGCCTTGGAATTGGTGAAATCTTGGCTTCACTTCTGCACATGTTTGACAAGCTGACGTCATCCTTTTTACATCATCCAGAGTGTAGTTTAGATTTTTAGTTCTAATCCAATGAAACATTCGAGTGACTCCCGGATGCCAGAGAGATTTGTGTAATTCAAACAACTTAGCATTATCCCAGCGAACTGCACATGCCCGAGAGAGCGTATCTGCTTTTACATTCTCCCTACCAGGTCGGTACACTATTTCATATTGATAAGGTGTTAGCTCTAGTCGCCATCTCATAACTTTATCGTTCTTGATTTTGCTTGTATGCCTCTTGTCAAAGATAAATGATAAAGCTTGCTGATCCGTGTATAATCTGAAGTCTCTTCCGATAAGAAATGGTTTCCATTTTCGAAGAGCTTCGACAATGGCAACGGCTTCTTTTTCAACAGCTGAATACAGCTTCTCAGATTTGTTTAGAGTCCGTGAGAAAAAAGCAATTGGCCGATTATCTTGACTCAAAGTTGCTGCCACGGCTATGTCAGATGCGTCAGTCTCCACTACCAGTGGCTCTTGCCCATTCCTAGGAGTAATTACTGAGTTTGCAATGTCAAGTTTGAGGGCTTCAAAATCTGCAACCGCTTCCTGTGACAAAGGGAAAGAATTGACTTGTGTCAGGTTTCTTATTTTATCAGAAAACCGATGTATCCATTTTGAATAGTGAGCGAAAAATCCTAGGACTCGCTTTAGTGAAACTTGGTCTTTGGGCACAGGAAGTGACAGTAGAGATTCTAGCCGATCTGGATCAGGTCGAATAGAGTTATGGGAAACTAAATGTCCCAACAAGGTTATTGAAGACTGGTTGAACTTGCTCTTTTCGTTGTTGATTACAAGTCCATACTTAGTTACAGCATCTAAAAATGTTCTTAGATTCTCATCATGATCCTTTTGATCCTTTCCACATACGGTCAAATCATCCAGATAGGCATAAACTCCATTCAGTTTTTCTTTTCTAATGATTTGGTCCATGGTCTTTTGAAAACATGCCACCCCGTTGGTTACACCAAATGGGATTCTTCTGAATTGAAAAAGACGACCAGCAGCCTCAAAAGCAGTGTACTTCTTCTCTTCGTCAGAAATTGGTATTTGATAGTATGCTTGCTTTAGATCAATGGCACTAAAAACCTTGTTCGTCGCTACAGTGGATACTAAATCATCTATGTTTGGTAAGGGATAGGCGTCTAAAAGAGTAAATTTGTTTATCGTTTGCGAATAGTCCACACACAGTCGCTTCTTCCCTTTGTCGTTTGTAACAACCAACACTTGTGCACGCCAAGGTGACGAACTAGGTTCAATGATCTCCTCAGTCTGTAGTCTTTCCATTTCTTGTTTTATAAATTGCATATCTTCATCTGAGTAACGTCGTGATTTTGTTAAATTGCAGAATAGTTTGGGTGGTTCAACTTTGGCACAGGAGCACACCAACAGAGGAGGTTTCTTACCTCCAAACCAAACCTGTATATTTGAGTGGAGTTTCATGATATCATGTCCGATAAGCACGTCAGTACAAAGATCTTCAAGAACAGTCAACTTAAAATTGTTGTAATTGTGATTCATCAGATTTAGGTTAATTTTAACAAACCCGTGGACGTTTGATTTCATATTAGAAGCAGCTAGTGATACTTGTCCACTTTCATTATACATTTTAATTTTGTTTAACTGAACAAACTTCAAGTTTACAAAGCTTGATGTACTCCCGGTGTCTATTAAGCATTTTGCTTTCAGGCCATTCACTTTAGCTTCAACTGTAGAGTCCTTCAATACAGACGTATTATGTGTTGTTGCTATTAGTGCAGCTGATGTACTAGACGTCTTCTGTTTTACTTTAAAATGTTGAGTTGGATTACTTTTACAGACTCTCGCATAATGCCCTGTCTTGTTACATTTCCCACAAGTTGCTTCTCTCGCTGGACAGCGATCTCTAGAGTGTCTGTCATGCCCACAAAAATAA